ACACAGAATGTAGGTGAAGAAATCACTTGAGCAGCTAAACAGATCTCTGCAGAAATAACTAGCTTGAGTACAAAAAGTGACTGTATATTGGGACAGCTATCAAGGTTTAAAGAGTAAGGTACTGATCAATGTCCAAGAATAATCTGGTTACCTGTCTAAAGAGGGAAATGTTTCTGTGGTGTTTTACTAATATATCCCATTAATTTTTGTTTCAGCCTTTTCATTTTGTATTTGGAGAAAGTCTATTTTTTGCCAGATGACTAAAGCAAGGAAGAAAATACTACTTTTTTCCAGTAATTTAGTTTATGTATTCATCAGAATAAATATCACACAAGCTGCTCCATTTATGGGAGGATATCCCTTCTTCACAGTTGCTACCTCTTGCTGAGCAAATTGCAGTAAAATTACAGCAATAAAAAGTGAATATTAGAGATTATGCTAACACAAAAGAGTTTCCCTATAAGTATGAGCTAAAGATATCCTTTCTATCCAGAAAAAACTGTACTGCATGCAATTGTTCTTCCTAGAAGAGCTGTGGTTAACAGGGAGAGCTTCAGAGAAGCTCACTTTTCCATCTGAACTAAATGGAAGACACTGCTAGGATGACCCACTTGGGAATAGGGAGACAAGGATAAAATGAAGATAAGAGAAAGAGTAGAAGATGACCACCAAGAATACGGAAATCAGGGCAGAGTGACATGGAAAGAAGAAGGAGGCACAGAAATTCCAACTCTTACTTCATTGTGGAGAATGTGCAAAAATAGACCGAGCTCCTCGCTTTGAGTTAAGAAGAGATGTGGAAAAGAAAAGCTCTCAAGTTTCAATGTAGAGAGGGAAATGAGACTGTTCTCCTCCCTGTAAATGCCATAGGGGAATAACAAAAAATGTCCACCACAGAAAACAATGACATGCAAAATCTACATAGAGACACAGGTGTTTTGGGACGGAAGGACTGGACATATTACAACAGTTGCAGATAAGCATCCAAACTTGTAGGGACCTGGTTAACTGCAAATCTTTCTGAGGTTCAGATTCTTTAATATAAGCACTAGCAGGATTTTCTGGCAGAAAACTGACCCAAAGGAACAAGGCTAAACATCGACAACTTGATAGTCAGTTCCACGGTAGACCAAGCTAATACTTAAGTCACCTATGGCCTTTGAAAAACTATGATTATTTTTACATCAAAGTAGCACTAAGTAGAACTAAGTTTGTCATTTTCTGGGAGTCTCTGGTACCCAGGTTCTCTGGTTCCCACGTTGGCAGTACACGGAGCAGAAATGTTCTCAGTCAGTATGCTGCATTTTGTCTGAGATTGATTTACTGATGATCAAAATGTGTCCATTTAAAAACAATAATTAATTTTAGTTCGTAGTGTTTCAAATTTTATTTTGAATAAGATTTAAAGTGCTTCAAAATGTTGCTTTTTTACAGTGTTTATAATTCTACAATGGGGTTACATTTTTGAAGTAACTGTAACGGTTAGAAAAACTTCCTATGATAAACAGTAAATAAAGAAAACTGATAAGGAAAAGCCCATGGGTACGATTAAACGGAATTTAACTTAGGAATATTTTAATACAGGTAGCTGTCACTGGGTGGGCTGTTAATTGCTTTCCCATCATAGTTAAGTTTACTCATCGATATAGTGTCCTTAGGTCATTTAAAAATTAGTTGCTTTTCACAAAACTTAACACTGGAAAAGCTTGGATTCTTCCCGATATTAATTTCTTCGGAGACCCTTAAAGCTGTTGACCTCTTTTTTTGCCAGCAGCAGTAACTGAGAATTAAAGCTGAAGAAATTCTTCTGTTTGGAGATCACTGACCAGGCTGTGTAACTGCTTTCATCTGCTGATAAACTACGCACCAAGACTCTCGTGTTTCCACTTGGGCTTTGGGTGAAAGTGGAAAAATCATACGATCTGCATGGTAAACCTGAGCAAGAAGCCTTACAGGAGAGAAGCATAGGTGGTAAGGAATAATTTTGCTGACTCTGGGACAATCTAATTGAAAGCTGCAACATCATTATTTTGGGAGCCAGGAAATGTACGTGATGGAATCTATGGAGCCACAACTACCAAAAGGCAATACAGTGAGCATAACTGTTAAGCAAAATAAACTTTTCTCTAACCTTTTCAGATTCTCGTATTATTTTGATTATGAATATTATCTGAATGATATTATTCATTAATACTATTTAAAGTGTCTGCTGTTTATTTTAGTTGGGGATTAAAAATAATCAGTGTGTTAGGAAAATCCCAGTTAGGGAGCTTCATTATACATAATTTGTGTGTGTTGTACAACACACACAAGGAGATCATGGATTGGTAAAATGTGATATAAAGGCTTTACCAGCACACATGATGTATTTGCTACGTAAGTGATGCACGGCAAAGCCATAGAAGTATGAAATCTTTCCAAGCTATGCAGTCCAGAAATACAATCCCTATGCTGCACTATCAATTCTTCTACCACATTATCAATTGTTCTCTGTACCCCATGCATTAAAAAAGTATTTGCCAGAAATTTTACAGAGATTGAAATCTTTATGGATGACTGGAAACAATTACATTGAAAATCAGAAAAAAGGAATAAAAGGTGAAGAAGAGATGAGAACAGTACAGATTGGTAGGGACAGGACAGAAGGGATCTCAGCTTGGGATATAGGCAAAAAATGCATATACATTTGTCTCTACAGCCTGGGGCAGGTGCCAAGGTTACTGATTCTCACTACTCTTCCACTGTTAGCAAATATGTATGAAACACACCAGCAACGTTCCCCACCTCCTCCTGGTGCCAGTCCATGCAGAGCGTTATATCTTCTACTGCTGTTTACTACCACAGTACTTCAGGTGACCTACACAGCAGATACCACAAGTTCCCGTGGTGGCGGGTGGTCTGACAGAGAGCCAGTAGGATCCCACATTATGGAACTGCTGCTTCTTTTCAGCTTGCTCATTTTAAAAGCAAGCAAATTATACCCCCAGACCTCACACACAGAAATATAACAGATGTAAATGAAGTACTTCACAGTTTAAAAATTCCCAAATCAAAATCGCTTATGTAGCTTTGGTTTAGCTGTTTTGTGCATATGCATTATCATTTACATGATCACATCTTCTTCCATCTTAGGCAGAGAACAAGAGCACAAATGAGAGCTGTATAAAGGATGCTGCCATCCACAGGACTCCTACTTCCCTGCTTTCGAATATATGTGAGAAATGCAAAGATGCTTTATTTCTCTCTCTGTACCAATT